AATCTCACCACATTTTCACATTTTTGAAATATTATAGAGCTTTTCGAAAAAAATTGGCTATTTTTAAAAATACAATTTTTTGTTTAAACAGCTATGTCTCATTTTAGGCTATTGAGTATTATAAAATAAAAAATTACGTAATGCTTTGTTAGCTTCAAACGAATCCAGCACGAATCCAGCAGAGCACCCCAGTTTTTTTTTAAACCAAACCACGTTTTTTGGCTCCTACAATATTATAAAAAATTTTTAGTAAAGTTTTACAATATTTCAAGAGTCTAAAAATATTCTAAAAATGGGGTGTGGTTTTTAGAAAAAAGCTTTAAAAAACCGAATTGCTCTGCTGGCTTCTTTCGAAGGTTAGCAAGCACCATGTATTTTTAAAAATATAATATTTCAAGTGCATAAATATATGGTGTTGCTGTTTTTACAGAAAAAACTTTATAAAATAGAGGTGCATTGCTGACTTTGTTCGAAGCTATAGAGCATTTTAAGTTTTGCAAAAAAACGAGGAGCATAAAATTTTTGAAAAGGGTATAAAAATAGCCTAAAAATATGGCATATTTTTTAACTCAAAATTTCATAGGTGCTCTGCAGCATTCTTTGGTATCATAATTATTACTAGGTTCACTAACAAAATCTGTTTCTAGATTATTTTAACACTTGCTGCGATTACAAAAAATGTCTATATGTCAAAATTAGAAAAAAAATATTTATAGGAATAAAGGGCCTTATAGACTGTTTATTATATGTAATATAAAAACAAAAAAGCATAATAAATATTACAAACCTTGACATGCAGCATATCCTAAGCATATTGTGCACTAAAAATTTCATTTTGTTAATTACAACGCAACCACACCAGAAGGTTTTTGCCGTACTTTATGTTTAGGTGTAATTTGTCTCCTTCTCTCTTATGGAAAAAAAAATTATCCCCATATTCTTACTTGGCAGATCTAAAAATAAAACCTGAGATAAATATGTTTTACTTGCTCCATATAAACTGTAACTACCTACTATTAAAACAAAGTCTTACCTTTCTGACTTTTGTAAACTGAGTATTGTTAAAAAATGCAGTAATCATCTCGGTAATCATATTTTCGTTTACAATGGGTAAAACACTTGATTCAACTTTTATAAATCCAGCTGATTCATATTAATAATAAAATTAAACCAAAACAAAAAACTAAGGTTAGATGTTACTGATGTTAGGTGGTGTCAATTTCAATTAGGCATTCCAACGACCTGTCAAACAATAGGTGCCAATGGGAAATTCTTGTATATTTAAGGGGGGTAGCGACATAGTCTTGCAACTTGGACGCTATTTTTATTCAAAGTAGTACTCGCCAAGCCTGCCAATTTATGAAAAAATGTATAGGTGGGTTTTTTAAATATTATTTTTATTGTGTTTGACATAAAATATTTAAAGGTATTCCATTATTCATGATTTTACGTAAAGTAGATAGAATACACCATATGTCGCCACCCTTAGATATATCAAACCTGCCCACTGGTAATTCATTTGTTTGGAATGCCTAATGTCACTTAGATGTGCGTTTGCTTCGACATTCTGTGTGTTGGTTTGTTCGTTGGCTTAGTTTTGTATAACAAAAAAAACTTCGACACAAGATGATTGGTCTATTCCCGATTACGTATAATTTCAAATTTTAAATTTCAATTGGGCTTAATTTAAAAACTTTTGGCTTTTTTAACGAACTGACTATTTAGAATAACTTGTATAGCGACTAACTATTACAATACAATTTATAAAACAGTATATCTCACATGTGAACATGGCCCATTGTTTACGTTAAATAGTCTGACAAACAAGACAGACACCGAGGTGATTCCATTTTGCCAAATATGGGGCACAACCTTAGATTATACAAACCTTAGATGAAACATAAGACACTGCGCATAATCCCATTTCGAAATTATTCACACCCACCAATCACAGTTGATAACATCACATGTCAGAGCGTTGTCCATCCAAATTTAATGTGTCAACGAGAATTAATTTGGTATTTAAGTGACTTAAATTTTGGAAATTAACGTTGAAAATGCCAAGATGTGTTGTAAAAAGCTTTATTTATAATAAAAGTGCGAAATATGACGGAGATAAAAGAAACTTATATTTATTTCTGTGAGATATTTAATTTTAAAAGAGTCTGTCAGCGTCCATATTTGTTAATTTGAAAATAAACAGAATCGGACTTGGTCATTGGTACATGTTATAAGTAGCAAATAAAGGTTATTTTTATAAACTGTTTACTATTTCTTATTTCATGTGGAATCTGTTTTCAGGAAGTGGAAAGAGAAACATACAATCAAATACAAAAATATCAATTTCATTGCCAATTTATTCGTTTCAAACTTCACAACTGGTTTCAATAGTTTTTTCAAAACTATTTATTTAGTATTTCTCAATAACAGTGTTACTCAAAGTGTCCTCCGCGGAGCCCTGGGGCTCCGCAAAGCAAAAAACAGTACTATCGCCACAAAATGGAGGGACCTAGCTTGAGGAGCTTTTTTTTGAGAAGTAATTTTTTTAAGTCACTAAGAGGAAGGAGGATATGATTTTGCTTTAGGACTTTTTTTTTATTTTATTTTTTATGGGTGAAATGGATTTGGGATCATTCTTGCAAGGAATCTTTGGAATTAATTAAAAATAAATTAACAACAAATTATGTTCTTGTGCATTTTCAGTCTGATTTGCCGATTGAATTAATAGTAAATGCATCAAATGTGGGAATAAGGGCCATGATATGTCATGTTTTTGAAAAAAAAAATATTGAGAAATCTATAGCTTCTGCTTCGCGTATCTGAACAAAAATATTCAAAAATTGAAAGAGAGGGCATTGCAATATTTTTTAGCTTAAATAAATTTAATGAATATTTATATGGACATTTCTTTATCCTAGTTACATATCACTTACCTCTGGTAACTATTTTTAACCCAGCTAAAGGTATACCCCAATTTTTAGCCAACAGACTACACATATGGGCAGAAATATTGTCAAATTACAATTACAAAATTGAATATGTGAAAACGGAGCATAATATAAAGCCGATTTTTTTATCACGTCAAAATGAAGAAAAATTTGAAAAATATTTTTTTAATTATTTGTTTTATGTGTTGAGGGCTCCGTCAAATATTTCGCTTTTCAAAAAGGTTCCGTCGCCAAAAAAGTTTGAGAAACACTGCTCTATAATAACATGGGATCTATCCATTTAATTTACATTTTGTTATTTTCTTTAATTTTGACATATAAAGTAATAAATTTTGTAATCGCAGCAAGTGCCAAAACGATCTACTTTATGCAACCAGTTGCATAAAGTAGAACATTATGCAACTGATTACGAAAAGTTGATTATGTCACCAGTTATGGAATGAAAATAAGTCGAAAAATCGAAAATCGAGTAATCGAAAAATCTAAAAATCGAAAAATAAAAAATGGAAAAATCCAAAAAACGAAAAATCGAAAAAATCAAATATCGAAAAAAGGCAATGATTAGTGACATTACACATTTGAAAATATGACATTACGTTTAACAACAAAAAAATAAAAGCTGTAAATTGCGTTTTATTTTATAAATAATTGAACAGCGTTATTGAAAACTGTCCAGAAATGTTGGGGGTACAATTTTGACGTACTCCTTTAAGGATAATGTCTAAAACAGTTTTTTTTCAAATTTCTCGCGGGTAATGTCAAAAATCAGATCGGCAACACTGCACATGTCCCTTATTTTTATTATTACTATTTAAAAAAAAAAAACGTCGTAGGGCAATCAAATACAACAATTTTCTAAAATATTTGATTGGAAGTACCTACAGAAGAATGATGGTGAATAATTTTTTAACACAATTTTATAAATAATCAAGACAAAATTAGAAAAAATCTTGTATGTACGAAATGCCGTTTTGTGTAACTCGTTCATTTTTATTTACTTGTTACACAAAATAAGGCATTTCATAACTGGTTACATAAATAACTATTAATTGACTTCCTAATATTTTAATTCATTGAACGGTATTTTCCGTAAATAATTACCGGTATACAAGTACCAAAACATTTTTTTCTCTTCGAAGAGTAGGCTTATGTCAAATAAACCTAAAATATTATAACGAACAGAAAGGTAACCAATTTCTAATAAAATTTAATTATTTATTTTATTTTGGTGTGATCGTAGAAAAAATCTTGTGTGTAATTCGAGCAAAAAGTACCTTGGCTGTTTCGATAACTTTTTGTCTCAACAGCTATTTTGTTACAATAATTTTATAAACTTTTACTTAGGGTTGATTTCATCGTTTTATTAATCGAAGTTTAAAATACTAAACGAAGATTAAAATGACATTTTTACATTAACAATGTCATTTTAATCTTCGTTTAGTAATTTAAACTTCGTTTGACACAACGATGGAATCGGCACTTAGCTAGTTATATATTGATGAAGTGTTATGTTATTGCCCTCATTATAAATGAATCGTGCTAAGAAATAAAGTCAAAAAAACGTCTCATAATTTTTCATCTTTTAGTTACCTACCAAAATTAGGTAACTACAATACAAATATTTAAGTCCGGCCCAGAACATCTCCCTACTCCTTCCACCTAGTTTTTCGGTTTTGGCAAAATTCGCGCAGTGACAAATGCTTCCTATGTTACCTCTACCCTTTCTAACCTCTTTGGGCACAACACAAAAAATATTGGTAAACACCTTCACAAATTAAAATCGGAAAATAGTTTATTAATCAGGTTTATAGAAATAATGTATGGTTACCTTTCCCGTTAAAAATAAAACTATTTAAATTTAGTTTCTTAAAACAATATGTTTACATAATTAAAACAGTTGTAACTAATAACAAATAAAACGTTTTCTATGTAACTACTAATCACTTAATTTCTGCGGATAGAAACGAAAATAGAAAATAGTACATTCTACGTACAATACTCCATAAAAGTTTTAATTACGATAAAAACTAAATTAAGTTATCATCGTTCAAGATATTCCAATATGCTCAAAACAAATAAATTTCACGGGCTACTTTTGTTTTATCAACAGCATCACATTTGTGAAGTATAATCTAGTTAAATTTAGATATTGTATAGGTTTTGGTACATTTCAAGTAAGCTGCCTAAAAATATTGAACATTAAAATTGAATACACTAAAGTGAAGTTCGCTTTTCAACAAAAATGTTTTCCAAGCTTATTTTCATTTGCTGCTTTGTGATTAGTGTTTATTCAAAATTTGTGCAGACTAAATTACCTGCCAATGTTAATGTGGAAAGTGATATGAATAAAACAGAAAATTTAGAAGAAATTAAAGTATTACGGAATTGTGTTTCGGAAAATTGTGACTTTAATAAAAATTTACAACCATGCTGTGACGATAATTATAATTGTTTAAATATTTTTTACAACAACTTCACAAAATTATTTAAACCCACAGAATACTGCAAAGAGATATTGATGATATACAAAAAACATGACATTGAACTGATAGCAGAAGAAGTAATTATAAAACATAAAAATAATTCTTATAAATTTGACGAAATATGTAAGATTCATTTACCAGAAGACATCCATGACGAAGAACTCAATATATTGTGTATAAAAACCAGTGATAAAACAATTAATTCAAGTTTAATTGAAGATATAGATTTTGAAAATTTTACAGATTTGGTCATTCGAAAGTGCTGCGAAAGTGATGAAGTGATGAAGGGAAAAACTTGTGAAAGATCTAAAAATATATCGAAACTTTTTTATTCAACATTAAGAAGTAGAACTGATATTGATAATTTTGTTTACCAAAAGTTACAGTGCGGTGAAAATAACGAACGGACTATAATTGACGAGTTTGAAATTTCGAATAATGGGTCTATTTATTGGGTACAAGTTGATGAGTTTAAAGAGCTAGATTCGTACTGTCTTGAATTGATTACCGATAGGAAGGGTGACTATGTATTTCAAGCATTGATTTGCGTTTCTGAAAATGAAGTGTTAGACATTTCTGATGTACCTATAGCAGGTAAGTTCTACTCAAAATAAAATCTAAATTGATTTAAACTAATTTTTATTTAAATGATCTTGTCACGAAACATATTATCAACTAACGTTGATTAAGATAACATTCATGTTTATTTACTTATTTCCTAAACAATCTACTTATTAATACCGGAAATACTTGGATAAGCATTTGGTTTTCGATAGAAGAAATATTACCGGAATTTCTACTGGTAGATAACACAAATCTAGCATATATTATCTGGTGAAGTGTACATTTCAGATTAAAACAAGCACAGAGTGTGCACTGTATTGATAAATTAATAAGTTAAACAAATATTAATAAAAGAGTAGGTAAACTCTATGTAAAACCCCAAGATGTTCTCTTTCTAGATTTAGTAGACAGGGCGGCGAAACAAAAATTCTCTAAAACAAGGCGTTACTCAATAATACGTTTTAATCAGCTATAATGAATTGAAATTATTTTAAAATTAAGAATTGCACACTTACTAATTGGTATATTCAAAAAATATGCAACAAAATGTTTTTTTAAGGTTTTCAGTATCCATTTCATAGTCCGCATTCAGTAGCGTTTGTTTAGGTTCTGAGGGGAAATACCTGCGCACACTAAAATCAGTGTCGCATCATTTTATTTGTCTAAATTTATTCGTCTGGATAGACCAACCAGAGGCGAAGGTGTGGGTATGTATATTAAAGAAAAATTAAAACGTGAGTTAATTTTATCTGAATGCAATGAAATTATAGAATATTTATGGATTAAACTAGGGGTTGAAAATACTACCATAGCAATTGAAACATTGTATAGACAACCAAAAAGTAATTATCTACAATTTTTAGATGAAGTCGAAAATATGTTTTCGAACATTTTTTCAAATTTTAATTATCTTATCTGTGTAGGCGATTTTAATATAAATATGCTCGATATTGATAACTCCAACTCAATTCGTTTTTGTGACATTCTTGAGGCATTTAACTTAACACAAATAATCAAGGAGCCCACAAGAGATACTTCATTGCTAGACTTAATAATCACAAATATAGATTCAAACTTCTGCAATGATTCTGTTGGTCACAATCTAGTTGCTGACCATTCAGCTATTAACTGTAAGTTTAACAATTTTTATATCAAACCTCATGAAAAAATAAAAATTACATATCGATGTCTGACAAAAATCAATAATGAAAACTTTTAAAGAGATCTTAGGTCTATGCCTTGGCATAACATTTATACTGTAAATGATATTGACGAAATGGTAAATTTATTAAACACTTATATAATGACAGTTTTAGAATTGCATGTTCCTAAGAAAACAATTATTTATCAGAAAACGAATTAAATATAGTCCGTGGATTACTGAGAATATTATTCTTATGCAAAAACTCCGAGATAAAGCTTTGCAAAAATTTCGCAGAACTCAACATTGGTCATATTATAAACAATTAAGAAATTTCACAAATAATGTTATAAAGGCTGAAAAAAGAGCATACTTAAATTTTAAATTTTAAAATTGTAATATAAAAGAAAAATGGTCTGAACTAAAAAAACTTAACATATTTAAAAATAAAAAAACAGATATTCCCAACAATTTGAAAGATGCCAATGCCATAAATAGTTTTTTTACTTCTAGATGTAATAATGTGGCTATGGATGATGACTTAATACATTTTTATTCAACTAATACTAAGGAGAATATCACAGAATACTTTCAGTTTCAGGAAGCTATCAATAATATTATTTTTAGTATTAAATCTAATGCTTACGGTATGGATGATATTAATAGCACAATTTTACAACTCCGCTATCCATTTATCACTCGATTTGTAACATATATTATTAATGAATGTTTAGCAAAAAGTTTTTTCCTTCTGCTTGGAAATTTGCTAAAGTTATGCCGTTACCAAAAGTAAGTGAGCCTAAAGATTTTAGTGAATTGCGATCAATTAGTATTCTACTTGTTTGTTCAAAATTTTAGAAATATTAATGAAAATACAAATAAGTGATTTTATAAAGAACAATAACATATTGCCTAATAAACAGCTAGGGCAGGATACAGCTGTGCAACATCCTTATCTGATGTAACAGATGATATTTTTTAGGGCTATTGATAATGATAACATTACTTTTTTAATTTTGTTAGATTTTTCAAAAGCTTTTGACACTATAAACCATGAAATATTTCTAGCCATGCTTAAGTATTTTAAATTTGATAATAATTCCATCTCACTTTTAAAATCATACTTTCATCAAATAAACCAAATAGTGCAAATAGATAATATTTATTCTTCTTCGCTGAAGGTCACTTGTGGCGTACCTCAGGGCAGTATATTACGTCCATTGTGTTTTCGTCTATATACCTCACAATTTCTTACTGTTTTGAAATACTGTAATAGCCACTTGTACGCGGATGATACTCAATTATATTACTCTTTTAAACATTCTACAATAAATGATTTCATCTTGAGAATAAATTCAGATTTGACTAATATATTTAATATATCTGAAAGGCATTCATTAAAAATAAATCCAAGTAAATCCAAAGCTATATTTGTAACGAATTAGTCAGACAAAAAGTTACATCTGCAGCATCAATCAAAATAAATGATATGAATATTCCTATCGTTAGCGAATGTAAAAATTTGGGTCTCATTTTAGATTCCAAGTTAAAATTTCAAAAACATATTACTGTTAAATGAAAGACATCTTATGCAAGTTTGAAACTAACATATGGACAAAAATATTTCATATTTCAATCATTGTGATATTGTGTATGTCTCTTGAATAAACAGTTTTGAGTCTAGAAGAATTCAAAAATTTACAAAACTGTTGTATAATAGAAGACTTCTACATCTTGCCTGTATATGTCATAAACTTTTTAATACAAAAGTGTATGCATATCTGCACGATAAACTAAATTACAGAACAGATATACATAATATTAATATTCGCCTCAAAAGTATCCTTAGGTAACCAAGATTTTATAAAGCTGGCTTCAAAAAGTCATTTACCTTCTGTATCAATGATTTATGGGTGTTCCATCTCAGACGAGCCACCCCGTATATTTCTTATCCCATGGTAATTGGAAAAAATTCCTGAAACACATCGGATTATTTTCTTTGGGGGACATCTTTTGACGTATATTTGAGGCTTGAACGAGCAACCCCCTATGAGGGGGCACTTCCACCCCTCAAAATTGAATGGGGAAGAAGGGTTGAGTGATACTTCATTTGTAAGGTCTTGGAAGCCTCTTTACAAAGGTGTATGAAAAAAATCACATTCTTAAAAAAATTAATTGTTTTATCATGCTTACAATCAAAAAATCAAAACTGCGTTTTTAAATCAAATGTTCAAATTGTCCTCCATTGACTTCCATACAATAATAAATTCTCTCGAACTAATAAATAAAAAAAAAAAATCAAAACATTTTCTTATCTTGCCTTCATTTTTTGTTCTTAGAATGTGTTTATCACGTTTTTTCGATCATTTCATGGATTAAAAATCAATCTGTTGAGTTACTACTTTGCTGATTTGCTTACAATTTTAAAAATAAATTATGGCTGCAAGGATATTTAACCGAAACCATCCTGAGCGTTCGTCATAAGTACGTAATGGAATTGATTTCAAAATTTGTTGAGACGGGTTCAGTAATAGATAAAAAAGGGCACCCATTGGAATTGTGAATGATGAAGGAGCAGCTATGGCGGAATTGGGCCATGTCCAACGTATGCCAAACACGCAATCTGTCCGACAACTTTCTGCAGTTTCCGGTATTGGCCAATCTAACGTTTTCAGAATTTTACATAAACACAAGTTCCATCCGTACAAAATTAAATTAATTTATAAATTAAATGATGATGATTTGGATCGAAGGCAAGAGTTTTGCTAAATTATGGCCGAGCGTATCAACAATAACCCAAATTTCTTGTACAACGTTTGCTTTTCTGACGAATGCACTTTTTTACTCAATGGAGAGGTTAACCGGCGAAACTGTAGAAGTTGGAGCGATACAAATCCTCATGTATTTCGAGAAGCTCACACTTAATATCCGGAAAAGCTAAACGTTTGGATAGGAATTTTGGGAGACAACCTAATTGGATCTCTGTTTATACCTGTTAATTTAAATGACATAATTTATCTTGAAATGCTGGAAAATGCGATTGATCCGTTAATAACAGAAAAATTAGAAAACGATCTTCTACTAATTGAACAACAATTGCATTTCCAACAAGACGGAGCTCCTCCTCACTACGCCGCACCAGTTCGCCAATACCTCAATTTACAATACCCTGGTCGTTGGATTGGAAGAAGAGGTCCTATGGAGTGGCCTGCTCGCTCTCCTGACTTGTGGGGACATCTTAAGTCCAAGATTTTTGTGACTCAGCCTGAAAATTTGGACGAACTATGCCAACGAATTGTAAATGAGTGTCGTCAAATAACGCTGGACCATGTTAGAGACGGTTTTTAGTCAAGATTGTACTATTGTATGGAAGTCAATGGAGGACAATTTGAACATTTGATTTAAAAACGCAGTTTTGATTTTTTTGATTGTAAGCATGATAAAACAATTATTTTTTTTAAGAATGTGTTTTTTTTCATACACCGTTGTAAAGAGACTTCCAAGACCTTACAAATTAAGTATCACTCAACCCCTCTTCCCTATTCAATTTTGAGGGGTTGAAGCGCTCGTTCAAGCCTCAAATATACGTCAAAAGATGTCCCCCAAAGAAAATCATCCGACGTGGTTCGGTAAATTTTTCCAATTACTATGGGATAAGAAATATACGCTCATTTTAGATGGAATACCCTGTATAAAACTGATCAGTTATTATTACGACTTAGAGCAAAAACTTTTGAAAAACCATACAAGATTATTCTGTTACATCAACAATAATAAATTCTCGCTTCCATCAGTTTGGATCAGTTTCCGTCCTTTCTTTTTTTTTTCTTCCTTCTTTCTTTCATGTTAGGTTACCTCATTCCTTATTCTTTGTCTTAACTGCATAAAC